GTGACGGGAGAACTTCGAAAGGGTTGGAACCGCAGTTCAGAGAATACCCAATTGCTTTTCAAACCTTCCTCTGATCCGCCAGAAGCTCTGTAGTCTGCAACAGGCTGTGTCTCAGGAGATTTCTGGGCAGGTAAACCTAGCTTAGCTGGAAGCCTGGGTTCTCAGGACTGGCAAAAGTAAAACGTCTCTAAGTATCAACCGCTTCCGATCCTGCAATGAATTCTGCATGGGCAGCCACTGGGCCTGTGTAGACATGGAGCTCCACTCACATGGTACTCGCTGCAGAGGGGCGGGATCTAAAGGGTTTATATTGAGATCTGGGGGATGGAAACAGTGCTCCTCCCTCCGGGGCGAGGGAGCTCCCTGAAAGGCAAGAGACGTTCTCTCGACCTAATTCACACAGCTGCTAGATGAATCAGGCAAGTTCAGAGAAGCCGTTCGGGTATTTAAATGCCGCATCATCAAATCAATACAGGAGATTTAGACTCGGACATTGATGCAAGTGTAAATAACGAGGCCCTACAAGCAAGTGCTTCTGCGCCTGCAGAGTAAAGCCAGAAAAATGCCCTTGTCTAGCTAGATCCCCAATGCACATACTCATTCATCCAAAAGATCACACTAGAGGAACTGCTGCCAATGCATCTGCATGGGCAGGAAGCAGCAGTGGAGGGTGTTAGATGGCAGGAAATCGGGGGCGGGATCTTTCAGACCTCATTGCGGGTTAGCGAGAGCAGCCTGGATGGGGCTAAACTTAGTGCCATTCATTAATAATACTAACTAATGCTAATAATCTGTTGCATTCGTTTCAAGGAGGCTGCTGCAGAAGTGGAATCCGACGCTCACGAGTGCAAAGCACTCTCTGCTTGCTGTCCTCAGGAACACCAAGAGACAGTTTTGTTGCTGGCAGCAAATACAAGCTACTTGCTGAGTAACCGCTACTAGGTAGCCACATGCGTCTGCGAGACCACCCCTTGTAGCCATGGAGGCAACGCACCTGATGGCACGGAGGACCTCTCGGGAGGTGGCAACTGCACCACTTTATTTGGCTTTTCAAAAGCGCTTGGTTTAAACACAAATCCTGAAGTAAAACTGAAATGCAAACACAGCAGCTACTGTTCTTCCTCCTGCTCCTTTGATGGCCTCTTGGGTTGGCAGGAAGCGTTCTCATGGCTAAAAGGAATCTCCCAACCTCCCTGGACCCATGTCTCCAGAATGCGATGGGTATGATTTACACCCACCAAAAGGTTCAGCTCAGACTGCAACCCTCCCTCTAACTCAACTCCTCCTCCCTCACTGGCCTGGTCCCACCCCCTCTACACAAGCAGGGTCAAATATTACACATGCTCAGTCCCTCTCCTGGCACTGTGGCAGAGAGGCCAGATTTCCCCGCTGCCCACGGGCAGGTGGTTAAGGAGGGGAGCAGAGCCACAGGAGGATCAGCAAGGATCATCCTGAACACAGCACATGGCAAAGACCAGGCTGACGGGGAAGGAGCGCACAACACAACCTCCCTGGGTTGCACTAATGCTGCCCTGAACTCCGTGACCCTTTCTGAGTCACTGATGCGGTTCGCCAGTGAACTCTGGAGTCTGGGTTCAGCTCGGACAAAGAGCCACAAGATTAGCAAGACTCCTGAGCTTCGAAGGGCGTGATGGTCTCCTGAGGAGAGGCGTCTGGGTGGGGTGGGCTAGGGCTTCTCATTTGGTCAGATCCGGCACTCTCCCTCCCTATTAACCATTTCAGCAACGAGGCCCAACGGGTTTTAGGGAAAAAAAATCATCTTAGGCTTTTTTCAACCCTTTTTACTGCACTTTCCTGACGTCCAGCAAATGGGGCGCAGACCTGCCTCCCGCTCCCTCGCAGTGGGCTGAATTACACCGCGTGACGACAGCCCAGGACGTGCAGATGCCAGCGAGCGTGTAAAAGGCCGGGGCGGGGTGTCCCTCGCAGCTTCACTCCCGCTTGGGGTGAATGTTTTGAGCAGCCACCGATACCCCCCCCAGCCATGACTTCCCAGCGCTCCCCTGGAGGACCTGCTGCAGCGCTATCCCACCGAACCTGTGCCATGGTGTCCGAGAGCTGCCAGGACCCCGGGAGCATGCGCTGAACTAGACGAGGCCGCGCACTCCCCCTTTGCTGCTCGGCTGCCAGGCGAGGGGGTGGGGTGTGCTTATTTGGGGAGCTATTGTGGGAAGGCCAATGAAAAGCAGGGCCTTGTGTTTTTAACACCAGCCAGCCACAGCGGGCGTTATGTAGCTAGGCATGCTCCCAGGGCTGGGTCAGTAGCAGATCCGCACTGCCAGCCGGCTCTGGCTGCCCCGGCATCTTCTCACCATCTTCCTCCCCCTGCCCTGTAGGGCTGCTCAGGACTGCTCCACTCTCCACCTAGAGTCATAGCAGCTTTCGGCAGCCCACAGCCCCTTGCACTAAGGAATCACCTGTCCATCCCTCCCTCCAGAAGGGACCATGGACACTCCTCACTGCCTGGGGTGGTGCAGGCAGGAATTCTCTAAGACAGCCAGGAGAAGGCCTGCTCTGTCCTGGTCACACAACCCTAATTAACCTTCAGACCGATGGATTCCTTCGTGGTTTGTGGGCTTTGGGAAACAGGCCTCTGTGCAGCAGATGGAATTCAGGATGCAGAGCAGAAGGCGCACTAGCTGCCACAACGTCCAAGTGCCCATCTTCCACACTGAGGTCAACGATTAATCGAGTGATCCAGGAGACGGTTCACCACGCAGTCTAACAGCCCCTCCCTGCCAGATGGGTACAGGCCCTAAACACGCCTGTGACCACAACAGCAGCAAATTGCCTCTTATTCCTGCAAAGACGCCAGCTTCTCAGTTCGAGGCCTCACTGATAAATGCTCCAGCCAGTGTGCGGCGAGCTACAGTATCCCTGCCCTGCTGCCGCCTTCCCCCCACCCCATTACCGGTTCCCCTTTGCTCAGGCCTGGCCTACACCTAGAACTTAGGCTGACCTAGCTACACTGGACGGGGCTGTGAGAAATTTCACAGCCGGTGCGACGCAGGCAGGTTGCCCTAACTCCCACTGTAGAGGCAGCTAGGTCGACACAAACATTCATTCCTCGCCCCGGCGAGAGTCTCTCTGAGAGGTGCATTACACAGCTGAGCCCAACCCCTTTGTCGATGTAGGAAGCACCGACGCGACAGCGGCACAGCTGCAGACCCACAACTGTGTCGCAGTAGCCGCTGTAGTGTAGACATCCCCCACAGCGTGCAAGCAAAGGGGGATGAAATTTACAAGCCTATTCCATCCCCTGGCCTGCTCACAAGAAGGGAGCCAGCAGGCAGAGCTGAGATGGATGTGACATTACCATCCTTCCCTTCTGAACTGACACATACTAGGTGGGAACAACAGACAGGAAGGATGGTCCAGTGGTTAGAGCACTAACCAAGAAGACCTGGGTTCAAATCCCTGCATTGCTACAGGCTTCCTGTGAGAGCCTGGGCAACTCACTTAGTTGCTCTGGGCCTCAGGTCTCCATATAGAAAAATGGGTCTAATAGCACTTCTCAACATCACAGGGGGTGCGGTGAGGTGCCCAGAGATGCGGGCCATGGAGGTACCTTGGATAGATCAGCTCCTTTGGCCTTGACAATCGCCACATAGAGTTCCTGTCCATGGCTTCTCAAAGCTGTGTTCCTGAGGGAAGGCTTGTATCATCTTATCTTGTGTTTGCACTTATTCAAACCAGAGTGCTGTAATCCTGCACGGCAATTGCAGCTCTTCCGCATAGTATCAGATTGGGATAGCACAGATGATATGATCTCTGAGCGCCAACGAGCAAAACCACCGAGTGGGACGGGAGCAAAAAGGCAACGAAACACACCCACCGAAATACATGCGCATGCGGACGCAGCCCAAAGCGAGTCTATGTCCCTTGCAGCGCTGCAAAATGGGATGTGCATTTGAGTAATTTGATCCTTCAACAGAAAAGAGAAACGCAACGCGCTGGAGCTTAAACAAGCACACACAATTCCACTTCCGGTAGCGGGTTTGTGGGGTACGTACACTGAAAGGCTGCGTCCGGGTCTCCTTCCCTCCCGATGAAAGCTGGCACTTTTTTTTTTTTAAGTTTGCCCCACCGAACACTTTTAAGCAAGTCTGATGCAACGTCAGCCACAGCATTAACCCAGCATCATCTCACAGGAAAATGTGTGCTTCACCCCACCAAAAACATAAATAAAATAGCCAATGGCGCCCCCTAGTGTTTGGGCCCTGGGCTGGGCTACCCAAATGGCAGTATTGCCCTAAGACGGATCAGAACAGCATAGATGACTGAGAGAATCAATACATCCTACTGCAGCAGAGGAACGGTTATTGTTATGATGCCCCATCCCAACGGTAAAACAACATCAGCGTCAACATCTTTAGCACAAGGCCATCGAGGAAAAATGCTACTGATTCAGCTTGTAATCCTTCCCCCAGTCAGAAGGCCTCCTGGCTAAATGTCTCTTCAAATTATTCCCCATGCTGTGAATCCGCTGCAGCAAAAGGAATGTCAGGAGCCGTCAGCAGAGCCCCGGAGTGCAGTGAGATACCCACCGACCAGCCTGCGAAGGAACCTTGGGGTATGGCCATACTGACGAACGCCACGTTTCCCACCAAAGCAGTGAGCATCACGCTGAAACCCAGCAAGCCCTGGCTGGGAACAGAGCACGGAGGAACCCGGAGAGGTTGAGCCCACACACTGCAGCACAGGTCAGATGCAAACAGAAAGTGCTCCAAGTACTTGCTCTGGCACTCCAAGAACGTGGACATCTCCCAGTAGCACCGTGGAACCCGGGTCACAAACCCGGACCCCATGATTCTAGGCACTACACAAATGCAGAAAAGACAGACCCTTATCCAGAAGCCAAATCGAAAACCACAAAGTAAAACAAAAACAAAGCAAACAAAAGGCTTGGATGGGGAAAATAAAGGGATCTGTGCTGTTGGCGCTCTCCATGGCAAAACTACAAAAGGAAAGGACGGGCCGAAGAGCTCTCAGCAGGAAAACACCTGGAGCCAGCGAGTCACGGCTCCTCGCCCAAGGCACAACTAGCCCTAGAAGTATATTTTCTAGCACTGGGTGACATCCAGTTTTCAGGGACACCGTTCCACAGTCTCTTTGCCAGGAAACGTTTCCCCGATATCCAGCCCACAGCCCCTCTGCTTTAATCGAATCCCAGTGCCTTCTGGGGGGAAGCGGCAAGCGGTGCTAGGGGTTAGCGTGGGTCCTCTCTCGTCGTAGGGTGGACTATCCCGATGGGCACGGCGTGTTTCCAAGGGTGGGCAGGAGCAGAATTAACTCCTGGCAGCTCAAGCATCCATCTATCCAGGGTACAGATCGGCTCCCATTTCTGTATATCTGAGCCCCTTCCCGTGTGACACAAGTATCTTCATAACACCCCCGAGCGGCACAGCAGGGCTCTTGTCCCATTACAGAGATGGGCCATGAAGCACATGGAGGCTACGTGACGTGCCCAAGGTCCCATGGGAAGTTTGTGGCAGAGCAGGGACTTGCAGGTCTCTCAGGACCTAGGCTAGTCTAACCCCTGGACCCATCCTTCTCTAGCACCGACGCTCGTGCTTATCGTTCCCCTCAATCCCTCCTGTTTATTGAAATCAGCTTCGCGCGTGAGAGGAGCACGGCTCTCCAAGCCCCGGGGTGCAGGCCGACGTTCCCCGGAGCCCTTCCCGCCCTGCGCTGCCGCCTGGGCTGCTCAGTAACTATAAACAGCTGCTCACCTTTGTCCTCGTTTCCCAGAGGACTCGGATTAGCTCTAGACAAGCATGAAGCTGGCAGCCTTTCCTAGAAGCCGTGTGCACCTCCACTTAACTCTCCTTCCAGGCAGGGACAGCATGCACCCACCCACTGGCAATGCCAGCCAAAGCTCCCCCCCCCCCCACGCAGCTCTTATCTTTACAATAATACACACCCAAATTACACCCCGCCCCCAGGCAGCCAGGCGGGAAGTCACCCTGCCAACTCCTTTGGGCTCCAATGTCATGAGGATTTTGTGGCTGTGAAGCTCTGGCCCCTGCCGAGCTCTCACTCGCCAGCCCCTCCCTTTCCCTCCTCTCGAGGTCCCGGCTCCCGAGGCAGCACTCGCCTTCCCTGAGTAGTGAGGGGCTCCTCGCTGCACCCCTCCCTGCCATACACGCTCCCAGCCAGCGGTGGGGAGGGAAAGGTGCAGCTCCTCCCACTCCTCTGTTTACTTCCTCCCAGAGCCAGCAGCTGCTGGGATCTGGCGGGAGACTGCAGGAGGAGGGGTGGGGAGCAGGCTCTGTGCCTTCAGCTTCCCCCCCCCTCCAGTCCCAGAGGACAAGGAGGGGCCTCAGCCCCCCCCAAGGGGCGAGCGTCCCTCTCGGGGAGCTCGGCACCTCAGCGAAGTCCTTTCAGTCGGTCCAGTCAGGGAGGTTTCCCCGCCCTCGGAAAGCTCCAGCCAGATTCACAGGCACCACGCAGGAGCCAGGCCCAGCTCACAGGCAGCCGTCCCCGCTTGGAAGGACGGCAGCCTCTCCCCGCCGGCTCCCCGAAGCACTTACTTCCAGCTCCATCCCGGACCCTGCCTCGTGCGAGCTACTGCTCCCGTACAGCCCCATGGCCGGCTCCCGGCGCTTCCCGCTCCCCCTCACAGCCCTGCCAGCCGGGCGGGGTGCGTCTACATTCTCCGGCTCGGGAGGCTTCCTGACGATTTGCATAGTTAAGCCGTAAACTAACCACAACATTCCTCTTACGATTTTGCAATCGGCTGGAATAACGTGGTCGCGCTAAGTCGGGCCGATGAATCATGATCTATAAACCACAGGGCTCGTCACCGGGGCTAGGGGCTGGCTGCAGCCAGCGTGATTAATCTCGGGGGATGCCAGGGTTAACTTACAACCCGTTGCTATTTATTTTCCAAGCTTTCAAGCCTCCGGAGAGTTCCTGTTCCTGCCTTCCCCTCCGCCCGGCAGGGCCGAGATACTCGAGGCCATGGCACTGTGTCAAGAGGATCAAGACAATTCCTCTGCCACACACAGGAACCTCACAGGCAAGAGGGGATTGTGCATGTAACCCCGGAAATATGGCCTCCTGCACCTTGCGTCCAGGAGAGACTCATGTTCTCCAACAACCCCACTCAGCCCCCTAACCCCGCTCAACGGAGTCATCAAAACCCCCAGCAAAAAAACACTGCATGGCTCCGCTCCCGACCCTGCCCACTGTTTGAATTATCAAGGCACCTAGGGCCCCAGCTGTGCTAGGGGCTGTACAAACACAGGACAAGAAGACGGTCCCTGCCACAGAGAGGCTGTTCCTTCAGTCACGCTCTGTCAGCACCATTGGGGTGAGAGCCTTCTTCTCTGCGGCTCCCGCTGCCTGCAATGCTCTCCCAGTGCCTCTGTTGGTTTACCTAGGACGGGCCTCTTCCCTATCCTTCCCCTCAAGCTCCCCTCTCCAGGAGCACAAGAGCCTTCTCTACCATGCCAGCCTCTGGAAGTTTCACCCTGTCTCACCAATGCTCCCACCTCGAGCCCTGCTGTTCTCCCCAGTGCACACCTCTCTCCCGTGGCTCTCCAAGGAAGACTTGCCACCCCACCTCAGTTGCTGTCCTGACCTCGACGTGGCACAGGTCAAGCCTGCAGGATGTGAGACAGCACGATTAAGCTAAACCCCTGCACCTCTCTGTGTCCCAGGTAACACTCAACGGATCTGAGGGCCTGGAGCTTGAATGCATCCTGGGGAGAACAGGCACCACCCCCAACCCCCTCTCTAATTTGGCAATGAACGAGATATTGCATCTCCCCACAACAGCTCTTGCCCTGAAGAGAAGCCGTGAGCCAAGCAAGTTCATTTCATCCCCTCTCCACTCATCCCACGACACCTCAGGCAGCAGTTCCAGGGTATGTTTCTAGTATTAATAACACGGCTTTTACAAACATCACCTTGGGTTTGTTCTGTGCTCTCCACGGCGATGCTCAGACACTAGCGAAACCTCCTTCCTCCCTGAGACAATATCGCCTTCCAACCAAATCTGTCCTGACAGCGACGTCTAAAAGCGTCCCAAAGCTCAGACGAACCCTCTGACAACCCAGTGCACTTTTCTCCCCCTCTTTTTACAGCTCTGTCTGGGGAGTGTTCTCTCCCACCACACAGCGCTGGAGACTGGATTTTCCTTTGGGTGACTTCTGAAGAATGGCTCCGATTTTGTTTCCCATTTGCATTTGGTTGGCCAGCAGGCTTGCTCTGGGGCCATTGCACGTGACCAGAGTGACATAAATTTAAAAAAAAGTTCAGAGACAAGCTTAAGGCAGAGGGTTGAAGGGACCTGGGCACAGAAGCACCAGGAGGCCTGTGGTTTTCTTTTCTACATGAGCTTGGGGTGCCTCGGGGGTGGGGTGGAGAACAGCACCAGCCTTATTAAGGAACCCACTCTATGGGCCACATTATGTACGGCCCTACTTGGGTACAGAGAATCCCATCCCCCCAGCGCGCCCACACAGGAGGCAACCATAGACTCCAACCTGAGAAGACTGCTACTGACTTCAGTGGGTACTTTGCCCAGGCCGGTCCCTTCGCAGGATCAGGCCCATAACATGGCTGTAAGCACTGGAGCTACCAGCTAGTACTGCCTTGTAGGAGTTATTGTATGGTTATGGTGTCTGTCCTCTCCCCCTGCACCCATGAGCGCTGCCAGGAGAGCCCTGGCTACACCTTCAAAATGGTGCAGTAAGTCCCGTCGCTCCCTGCGCTTGCTCCAGTGCTTCCCAACTCTGCGACTTCAGCCGTGCACCTCCCTCCTGTCCCCACCTGGATCTGCCGCAGATGAGGTATCATTCACTCCCCAGTCAGTGGCTTGGCGCAGCCTGCTCCACAGCCAAACAGCATGTGCATCTTGTACCTTTAATAGGACAACCACATACTGTCTCTTGCAGTTAACATGAGCAGGAGTAACTTGTGTGCATGGAGAGGAGAAGGTGAACCTACC